TCAGCAGCACCGGAACGCGGTTTGGGGCTCGGGTTGACAATCAGGGACCAACCAGAACATTAAGACGAAGTACTACACCGCACACCCTTATACTGTAGCAGGGAATGACATTAAGGATTCATGCTTATCCACCTTATTTCGATCATATACCCTAAACTCCAAAAACTACCCCTAAACCCCTAAACAGCGGGGCCTAGCCTAGCCCTTCACTCCCGGAGACTCCAATATCCCTTAATCAAGGAATATTCCTTAAATCATATCAGGGATCCTACTATAATTTAAGGTATATTCCTTAATTTAGGGATATTGGAGTCTTTGGGCTGGTCGATTGGTGATTCGCTCCCCGACCATCTCTCCTCGAGGTTGCGACTTTCTGGTCACCGTTGGGGGGGTGGGTTTTGGGGGACTACAGGATGGATGGAGGAGCTCAGCTCGGCAGGCCCTAAACCCTAAACCCGTGTAGGGTTTAGGGTTTAGGTGCTGAAAAAGGGTTTTGGGTGTGGCGGCCAAGATGGCACCGCGGGCCGGGATGGCACCCATCGCGCTCACAGGTGCAGGGAAGACGGAGTTTCGAGGAGAAGATGGCCTTCTTCAAGGCTATGGCGAGGACCGACGGACGGTGTCGTGTCCATCATCATGGGCAAGGACCGCATCGGGGACGAAGGTCCACCGATCCTGGAGCAGTTCGCGGGCGAGACATGCCCCCGCGGCCCTGCAGTGAAAGATGGTCACTTGTTTTGAAACTGTTTGGCAACGTTCCTTTCAGACAAGTTGATCTTCGACGTATGTTTATGCTCGTTTGATTTTGCTTACTCCTTATTCTACTGTAGTGCGTTTGGAAGCTCCGTGCTCTCTGTGCCCATGGATGCGCATAGTCAGTTGTCATGTGGATTCTATGGAGCCCTGCCTGCTTTGACATTTGGTCGAGTTTGAGCGACGAAACCCTAAACTCCCAAATCCGTATAGCCATGTATAACCCTAAAACATCCTAAAGCCCTAACCCCCCCCCAAAAAAAAAATATAAAACCTACCATCGCGAGCTCACGAGTTCTTTGCGTGCCGGGAGCTGTGTGTCGCTCGTGCGCTGAGTGGTCGTGGATTGTTCTGTTTCTGCTTGTAGGGCGGGGTGCTTGGTTGCCTCAAGGTGGAGAAAGAGATGATGTGGACCATCGGGGGAATTCAAGAATTTAGCAGTTGTGAGTGTGTGAGTGCGGTGAATGTACCCGGCTCTGGCCAATGCGCCGTCGCCGAAGCAGTAACCTCACCAGTGCTGAAACCCTTATCCCTAAACTCCTATCCCGAAACCCTAAAGCCCTAAAGCCCGAAACCCCTGATCCTCTAAACCTTATAATTAGTACCCTTACAGATCCCTTATAGGAGCCCTTAGAGTTCCTTTAAAGAAACCCCTAAACCCTAAAACAGTGGCAAAGGCGAGGCCTCAACGCATGGAAGCGGCACGGCTACCCAGTTGAAGGCACGCGGGCGAGACCACAAGGGAATGGACTGGACAATGTAAACCTAGTAGTATAGTAAGCATAACTGTGTTGGGCTACACAATCCCTATATAATCCCAATATACCCCTCAAGGTTAACTTTCGGTTCGAGGGGATACTCGACAATTGGGTAAAGTTTTAGGGCTTAGGGGGAACACTTGTTGCTAACACGGCCTTCGTGTGTTGGGATGGCATCTATAGCGTTCGTGTCAAGGATGCCGGGCATGAATCAAGAGACCTGAAATTATTCCAAATATCTTATATTGAGCGTAGGCTCAACGAGGCACTTGGCTATGGATGCATGATGCGTGTCTACAGCTGCAAGGATGTCTCTGTCTGTACTGTTGGAAGGCAGCCGGCAGACCTTCTTCGCACGCCAGCGTTTAGGCACACCTGAAGTGCCGCCAGCGAGTACTGTAGAGTAGGCATTATTATTGCATAGGTGACGGCTTGAGGATGCGAGGTGAGTCTTGCCAAGGTTTGTGTGGGTTTAGCTACTCGACTAGACCTCCAACTATCTTCCATTATACCCCAAATACTTTTTTCCCGAACCAGACCTTTAAGGTCTCTATTGAAGGGAACTTGCAGGGGGTGTCCTCTATGTTTGTACTAGCAGAGTGTGATGGTAGCCTCCCGGCTTACGAGGTTTGGATAATGCCGGCGTGGCTGCAACTTGTGCACGTTTATCCATTTCGGTGATTACTGTGCAGTGTGTAAGGTTCATAAGGACGACGCCATCAACGGATTTGCTTCAGCAGTTTTCTATCTCATGGGCACGTGCAATTGCTTTGGGCGAATTTTAATTCAGTATGTATGTAGAGGTTTCCTGTACAGTAGAGTACGAGCTTTGCAGATGCAGGGGCCTGAATGTTGCAAAGTTCTTTTTTGAAATCTTGTGGCCTCCAACTGGAAAGGAGCTGCCTATGACACCGAAACCCTGCACTCTAAGCCCCAAGCTCCATGCTCAGCACTGCTAGACCTTTATCCGCTAAACCCTTACAACTCTAGCCACCCCAACGCCACGCTCCGAAGTTCCTGAACAAAATCTCGAAGCGCCGAGCCTTCACATGTTGCTTCAACTGCAGCCCGAAGCATTATAGGATTGTCTATGGTTAAGGGTCTAAGATATGAAGAGAAATCATGGACCCTAAAGCCCGAAAGCCTGAACAGGAGACAACGTCCTCAAGTTGGGCGACAGCGGCTTTGAGCTGGAAGAAGGGCAGAAGTCCCTTTGGTAGGAGTTACCCAGAGGCCCCAAAGTAGTTCCATTTTGGGATTACCTTATAGGATTCTATATACGAATCCCAAACAGGAACTACTTTGGGGCCTTTGGGTACTTACACTGCATCATGCTCCAGACCCCACTTGTAAGCATTAAGCCCACTCAACTGGGACCGTAGTGCTGAGGGTTTGAGGTCTCCGAGATCATGTCTAGCTTGTGCGACTTAGGTTTGCAGGGCACAGTCTGGTCTTAGATTTCATGTCATCTTGCTGTTACACCGGTGTACCAAAAACAGTTTGAACAAATCTGTCTTCAGATGCGAGACAAGGCTTGGTTAGTGGAAGTTGCATTTCCAGCTTGGGTTGTAGAGCACCTCCTGTCTAATATGACATGTCGTGCAAGATTGTCATCACACGCATGTCTGCATAGGGTTTGGGAGTTTCCGAAAGTTAGGGGTACTGATTTCGGGGTCCTTATCATAAGGATCCTACTATGTAGGGTACTATATTATGGTCCTCTATTTATCACTGCATTCTCGCAGTCCTAAAACCTAAACCTTTGCACCCTGAACTACCAGTTGCTATGACAGTAGGCTTCCTGGCTGGAGAGGCGGCTTCACCGATAAAAGGATTAGGATCCAGAAAGCCGTATTCCGCGAACCCAAACCCCGGACATCCCCGAACGGTAGACACCCTCAACCTTAATTGTAAATAGAGGGAAAACCCTGCACCGTCTGCTCTACCAGCATGGGAGATGTAACAAAGTCTTTTGACTAAGTGAACATCTCTCAACTTGACTAGTCATGGTCACGCTGTAAGTAGCGTTTAGAGGGTTGAGTTTCCCCTGAATTTGGCTCAGCAGTTTCAGCGTGGTGTTTTCGACAACGGGTCACCCTAAACCTGGGTTTGGCGCTTAGACAGCGAGTTTAGGGTCAGGTTTGAGGGGAATTGACAAGGTTGAACGAGAAATGTCGCATTGTCGCCGCCCTGTACCTTTCGGAGTTTTGCAGTGACATGTCCATAGAATCGATTTTCTTTGCTGAAAGAGTGTGAAAAGAGTTTCCCTCCTACAGTTATGTTCGATCTAGCGGGGGCTTCCGACGTTCCCTTGCATTTGCGGTTTAGGTACACTTGCTCCAGTTCTTTATGGAGCAACCCTAGCCTCTAAACCTTTGACCAGGCAACCCCTAGCTTAAATCCCAAGCCAAACTCGAAACTTCAGGGGTCCTACTACCTACCTGGACCCCAAAAGTATGTAGAATAATGGCCTTTTGTGGGTATTGGGCCCTTATGTTACCCTCCTTGGGGGGGTTTAGGTAAACACCAAGCATTCGACTGCTAAATCCGAATGTTCCATGGCAAGATCCATCCCAGACTGCGAGGGCCTGAGGCCCAAGTCCCTGCAGACACCGGAGCCCCGATTCCTCGCTAAACCTTATTAAGGAATTCGCTAAACCCAAAGCGCAGAGCTCTCAACCCGGCTCTGACTTGGGATAATTCCAATTTCCCCTTTAAGGTAAGAGCCAGAAAGTTGGAATATGATTATCTTAAACCCTTTTTGGTAAATTATAAGGTATCCTGCCCTGAAACCATATTCCAACTTTCTGGAGTTCCCTTTAAGGCATTCGCCATTGGGGGCTTTGAAGATGTCTTCACTAAACCTTAAACAACGGGACGGGGGTTCTTCCAGGACTTCATACGGGTTCTGTAGGCTTCAGTGGCGCATAAGGGTTTGTAAGGGTTTGGAATTTGCAGTAGCCGTCCATATTGGGATCTGACTGCTTACTGACAGTAGCCTTTTATAATTGTGTACAGGTACGGCAAAGCTCTCCCAACACCCTATACTGTTTATTGCCAAGCCCACTGTAGCACAACACAAAAATCAGCAAAATTGGTGGCCCAAAGGAATCGTGAATGCCTACCACCGTCTGAAACAGGGCCTGACTATTTGGACCAGGGCTTGTGGGGGGTGTAATAAGTATGATTCGGGCATTCAAAGACAGATGTTGTATGGAAGGCTCCTGTGCCTTATGCATGAGCTGTTTCTTGAAACCCAAAACCACAAAGTGAGGCTTCAAAGCCCCTACACCCTGAAGCCGAGCCCTAGGATGTAAGCCCCGTAGCCGTAAACTCTGCAGACATTGGCGACAGGAAACCTGACCCTGAAACACAAACCCTAAACCTCTGAACATCCCGAAACCCTAGACTCTATCGTCAATACCCTAAACTCTAAACGCTGAACATCCCTCAACCTCTAAGCCCCAGTTCACTTCCTTTCCCTCGCAGGGGGACGTGCGCGAGCCGCTTCAGAAGTCTCTGGAGGCTCTTGGGCCCAGTTTGGAAGAGCAGGGGTTTAGGGTTTAGGGTTTAGGGGAGGGAGGGGCCATGGAGTGATATAAGGCTTTTATGGGGTTTTCTAGGTTTCAGCTGCTTTTGCCCTGTTGATGAGGCTTTTTCGTAGGGTTTTACATCGGGAAGTTGGCTTACTGCTACTGCATGAGGGCATGTAGCCCGAAACGTTAAACCCTACGAGCAGTTCAATCCATCCTTAAACAGTATACTAGGGGTCCGAGTGCATTATAATCCGACGATATTACCCCCCATGTGCCAGCCTACAACTATTGGTCCAGAATCTTAATCCCCGATCCAGAATTAAACCCTAAAGCCTTGCATACTAGCCTGCAGCCACTAACATCTTGAACCCCAAACCCTCCATAGTCAGGTTCTTGGGCTGTTTTGGCTCAATCCCAACAACCTACACGCTTCAATCCTAAAACCTAAACCCTGCGAGCCCAAATCCCAAACCTCCATTACCTTAGACCGACCCCATGCATCCCTACCCCCCCCCCGCCCCAATAGCAACCAGAAGAGGTACCCTGATAGTCATAAATCTTTTAAAGGAGCACTTAAAGCAACATTGCTTGCGGTTCGAGGCTTGACAGCTGAAGTGTTGAAGTTGCCGCGTTTCCACATCTTCGACGTTGGCCTATGATTTCAGAAAGCATTTGATTATCCTGGACTTTATAATCCCGAACCAGAAAAGTCAGTCATGTGATGGTGTTGTTCGGTGACGAGTGAGGGGTAGCATCCATCTTTGTCTGCACGGGCGTCTTTGCCGAGGGGCAGATGGAGGTGGCCACATCTAGAGAAGTGGGACGTTCATTCGAGTCAAAGGCCACTGCACCTGAACCAAACAATGACCCGGCCCTAAACTCTAAACGGCCCTGAACCTTATCCTGCAGGCTTCTAGACTGGAGCTCGGTGCCATGCGCGGCCCACGACAGCCTGAGCCCTTGTGGTCGGAGAGTGGCGTTAGGGGTTTAGTGCTTTATGGTTGAGGTTCTGGGTTTTGTTATGGGGGTTCAGGGGATTGGGGTCAAGGTTTTTCGGGTTTAAGGCTTGTGGAGTGTTGCCTTGGATTTTGTGTCGGCAGAGTTCTTGTAAGAGTTCCCTTACGGGCTCCTTGAAGGTTTCCGTTAAGAGCTCCTTTGATAAATTTTAGCTGCGGTTAGGCTTTTGGACGCGTTCCTTTGAATAAGGTTTCTATAGGAGTTTAGGGGGTTGGGCTGAAGTATTTAAAGTTACCCTTATAGTGAGAGCTTGAAGCGTCCCACCGGACATCCAGTCCGTGCCTCAGAACATGCTTGCTAAGAATATTTGAGGCCTCGGCGAGCTGTACAAACCTTCATTTCCATCAGCGACTCAGCAAGGACTTCTCTTGTGGTAGCAGATTCGAGCTAAAAGTTGGATGGATGGAAAACACAGAGCGCTCACATGGTCGCTTCTTGAAGCCAAAGGGCACAACAAATGCCTGAGCCCCCACGCCCCCGACGAAGCATTTAACCAACTCTACAAAATGCTGTTTAAAGAAAGCCTCTAAGACTCTATCAAAGCCTGTGTAAAGCCTGCAATAAATCCGTAAGACTCTTATCAACGCCTATAAAAGCCCAGCAAGCCTGTGACGTAGTAGAAGCCTGAAAGCTTCATTAATGTCACTCTGCCAAGGGTTCCTTACTATACTTCTGCTGTAATCCGCTCCCAAAGTGCCTATGCTAGTTACTATGATTAGTGTTATCAATATATACTAGTACTGTTTTTAATAGATTTTTACTAAATCCCCTGTAACTTGCAAACCCAAACCTGGCCCCTCTGAGGCCCTGCCGAGCTCGCCACGGCGTAGGTGGCGTCGACGTGGGCCCGCGCGCAGGAAACCTGCGACCCGAAGAGCCCCCTGGATTAAGGGAGTCGGGTTGTGGGCTTCAGCCGTCGGGGCTGCGCGTAGGGCTTATTTAGGGCTTAAGTCAAAGGTGTAGAGTTTGGAAATCAGGCATTCGAGTTAAAGGCTTTAGGGTTCAGGGCCTGGGGTTATATATGGCGTCAGGGTTGGGGAGGAGGGTTTGGAGATTTGGCATTGTAGGATTTGTTTTTTTCAAGCTAGAGCTTTGGGCATGGTTTGGGGATGTCTGAGTTTGGTGTTCAGGATTTCGTTTTACCGTTTGTTTGGGTCCAGGGCTTCGTGTCTTGGATTCGGGGAGGGTTCAGCTTGGGGTTGAACAAAGCTTCTGGGTTACAGTAGAAGCCCAAAAGTTGGAAACCCCAGAGCCTCCATCCTTGAGAGGAATGTATAGGGAATCCCAGCACTATTTGGCCTTAATCCGGTTTCCAACTTTATGGGGTTTACTGTAGGGTTTAATTTGGAGTGTGTTTTTCCATGTTGGGGGTTCGGGTCTATGTTGGGTCCAGGATGTCATGGCTTACAAGGTTTATTCTCTGGTTTCGGATTTCGGGTTCAGGCTGGGTTTGGCATTTCCCTTCTGGGTCCCCATACGACAGCACAACCTTTCGTTTTCAGGAAGCTTTCTAATCTCTGGAGACAGTTGGTCCTGTGCAGGTGTTTATCCCCTTTAGCCCTGATACTCAACCCCTAAGCCCTTGCACTCTACACCCTCAAGTCTTATGGTACCCTACGACAGTAGCAGATTCCAGCACCCTCATATAGAGTATGGTTTATATTACTAGTATCTCCATAATAGAACCCAATATATACACTCACCAATATTCAAAAGGAGCCCGATCTATACTCACCAAAACGGTAATTTTAACCCTACTTCATATGGACCCTTGTGCTTCTCTTCAAGAACACCAAGTCGCCAAACCCCAAAGCGCCAAACCCTAAAACCATCTAAAACCCAAACCCCTGCACCGCGAACTAAAACCCTGAGCCCTACAACCCCTAAACCCTGAACCCCAAAACCCTAAACCCAAACCCCCTTAAACCTAAACCGTACAAAAACCGTAGCTCAGGTCCTTTGATGCGATGTCATCGCTCAGCATTCGGCGAGGCAGAGTTGACGTACCCCGCAAAAGGGGTTGGGTTGCGGGCTTTCCAGGGTGTAAGGTTTAGGGCTTATGGTTTAGGTGTTTAGGCTACGGCTCAAGAGCAGTAGCTATGGCATCGCCAGAGGACGTGTCTGGATCTGGCTACGGTGGTGTGTCGTCATCATTTTATGGCGATGGACCACTGGAGGCTGGGACACGGCCAAGGACAACGAGGAAGTGGCAGGATCCCCTGATTTTGAAGTCTGCCATACGGCTGACCAAGCTGGAGGCTGTCAGGCGCATCTGGGCAAACATGGTGGATCTGGAGAACATTGCGGAAATGTGCTCATCAGCTCACTCCTCAACAGGCAGGTTCACTGCAGCCCTTGTGAAGGCGGGTTCGGCAGATTGGGCTCTGGGCAAATTGCGGGTAGCCAACTACCCAAGAGTTCAGAAATCAGTCTACTGGTCCGCAATCTCCATTCACAAAAGACTGCCGCATCTCAAGAGCCTACCCACCGACAACCGGCACTTGCAAGCTATGTTTGATCTGGGACAGCAGCGCCATCTGACAGTGGAAGACAGCCGTCGCCTAGACCTGACTCTTCTCGCAAAGCGAGCTGCGTTCCGTCTCGGCAGACCTCGAGTGGCAAAAGTGCTGGAGGGGAGGCAGAAACTGCTCCAGACCGCTAGAGAAGACTGCCGAAAAGTATGTGAGGATGAGAACCTGGGGAGGTGCTCTTTTGAGCCTGACTCAGCAGGTATGGCCAGGCATGAACTGTTGGAGATGCGAATTGCCGACTGCGAGAAGTTGTTGGACATGGAGCCTTCAGATGATGAAATCGCCATATCAAAACGAATCCCGCTCCTAAGGGAAATGACAGAGTATCTGACATCAGGCACCACTGCCGACATGAAGGATTGCTTGTTCATACGGGAGGGTGAGAGATTTCTGCTACTGGTCAAGTGCAATGACATGGCTGTTCTCATGACAGAGACGACAGGACACACAAATGGGCTGCTCCTGAACCGCGACATGCTGCTCAAACCTCCTGAATTCCTACGAAAGGCATTACAACATGGCGCGTGTTGCTCGCATGGAATCCTTCCTGTCCTACGGCAGATTTCCTCGATGGCAGGGAGAAGATGATGACCTCTCTGAGCGTCCAACTGTCGAGTCACGTCTGGATAGAGAGGGCAGACCAACCGTCTCGGGCATTATGCAGCTGATGACTGACATGGTCACCCTCACAGGCTGCCACGGTTCACATCTGATGGACGGATTTGGGGACTTCGTCTTTACAAGGTATCAGGGTGTTCATGAGCCTCTGAAATTCGGCAAAGAAGCCTCTGAGGCAGTGATGGATGAACAGCTAGAGAAGATCAGGAAGATTGCCGCAATGCCGGAAAGAATTGGTCAGCTTGACATCCTGGAACTTGTGGCTAAAAAATATTCCGCCCCTCTAAGCGCCCCTCTAAGCCATTGCCATGACTATGAGAGACTGGCGGAAACCAAGCGGGTGGCGGCGATTCTTCTGGAGAGGGCAGGACAGGCGATGGAAAGGATTCCGGATGCTGACTACCTGAGTGAGATCAGAGGGTGCAACAGGTTATCAGCCTATCTCCCGGTTGCCCAGGTAGCATCGTTCAACAGATCTAGAACGGTCATGGCAAAGCAGCCGCTTGAGGGTGAGAAACTGAGCAGGGCTGTGAAGAGGGCCAAGGGTTATGCTGTGCTAGAGCTGATCAGAAGGGAGCTCCGAGAGAACAGTCGATTCCCACGAGGCAGCTATGACGGCAGCAACAAGCTCCTGAAGCAGATGCTAGAGACAGGTCTAACAGACATAGATCGGCTCAGGTCCGATCAGGCATCGCTGGAGGATCTTGCTGAAGTTCGGTTTGCACAGATCTGCGTGACTGATCTCGCGGACAACACCAGGAGGTCCCTCATGAAAACCTCTGAAATCAGACCGATTCATCTTATTGAGACCGCCAACAAGCTCTGCTGTTTTCTTTTGCTGTCGCGACTGTATCCCAATTGGCCGGTCCCAACCTGTCAGTTTGGTGCCATTCGGGGTGGTCAAGTCATGGATGCCATGGCTGCGGCGCAGTGGCAGGTGATGACGGAGAGTTTCCAGGGTGCGTCGACGCACCCTGGGATCTGGGTTAACGCAGACATCAAAAGTGCTTTCGACACCGTTAATCATGCTGCCTTAGCCAAGCTTGTGTTTGGCAACTGCCCGGATCACCTTTGTCGTGAAGCTCTCCAGCTACTCCAGATCGCACTTCACCCTCAGCTTGTTTTTGAGTGCCTTGGAGAGCAGTGGACGGCAGAGCAGAAGCAGGGAGTACAACAAGGCCACAGTTACAGTGCCATTGTTTTCTCGCATCTTATTGGCAACAGTGTGCATTCTCAGTTCAGCACGTGGAAAGACGCCGGTCATCGCAGTGATATTGGAGAGTGGGAATGGTTGTTTGTTGACGATCTCATTCTTCGTTTTCCTGATTGGCACACTGCCGTTCACCTTTTGCCCAAGATGCAGCATGCTCTTTCGCTCGTGGGTCTGCGTTTCAACGTGCGCAAGACACAACTTTTCGCCGCGGAGGACATACTCCGCCAAGGACGACTGCTCGATTTGAGCCCTGACCACGTACTTAGTAAGATTCCTTGGGGCTCGGACACTGTGTACCTACGCAAACCACTGAGACACCTTCATACTGGTGAATCCCTCTACGACCTTCTGGGCCCGGTCATGAAGAGAGCTGTGCATCAAGGGCTAGGCGGTATTCGTCCTTTGCTCAAAGGAATGAGATGGGGTGATCCTGACTTGACTGTACAGGTGATTAACAAGTATGTTGGTGCCAAGTGGTTCTGCATGGCGCCGCTAATGGTTCCGATAGTTAGCCATGTGAAAGACATGCTTGTCTTGCAAGTCACAATCCTCGTCACGATCATGCAACTCTTCATACCTGATTCTTGCAAGCACGATGCGGCGCTCAGTCTCCAACGCCTGCGTCGACGAGCGGTGTCCATATTCTTGTCTTCCAAGGTTCATGCATCATGGGCTACCATATGGCGACTTCGGTCTTGGGGATATGCAGGACATCTCTTGCGAAAACCCCCTGAACATGCTACACGTCGTATCCTGTTGTCCTTCGGCAGTAAGACTCGTCTACAGCAAACAGCTTCAGCCGCCTACGTTCAGACTGACGTGGGCGAGGAGTCGCTTATTGCTTTCGCTGCACGTCGTGAAGTGTGGAGGGCCAAGGGACAACATGGCCGAGTCTGAATCCTGGCCTCAGTGGAAGTATAGTCTGTTACAGCAAGTGCCCTGGCTCTTTGCTTGTTCTTTGAGCGTGACTGCTGACACGGGTCATCTGTCATGGATTGATGAGGAGCATGGCGTGCTCACCTGGGAGTTACGTCAGAGTTTGCTAGCAGAGGATGTGCATTTTCTCCTGAATCGCATTCGAATGCAGTCACAGCCTTTTGCAATTCTGATAAGCTTGGAAACTTGGCTTTTCGAAGCCCATCTTAAAAATTGGCATAGTCTACACGCACGTGTCCTTTCCGACTTTCGCATAGTTCTTATGTATGATACAGTTCAGAGTGGTCGCATGCGGGACATTATTTCTTGTGTGTTTGGGTGAGTGTTGCAGCCAGCAGTGCTGCAGATTTGCCTGGCCCTCAGTTTCCTTTCTTCAGGGTACCCGGCAGTCGCAATAGGCCTGGATGCAAAAAGGTTTTAGGGTGTTTAGGGTTTTGGGGTTTAGGGTTTAGGGTGTAGGTTGAGGGCGTGATAGGTTTTTGGATGTTGTCTTGGTAATCGTGAGAAGAATATGGGGCTATATAGGGTGCTAAAATACATAAACGCACATGTCTTTGAAAAGGGTCTCATAGGCTTTCACAAGTTTGTAAGGGGTCCTTAAATCATCCCGACGATGTTTAAGGTGTGGGTTAAAGGTTCAGAGATTGAGGGCTGAGGTGCTTCATGGATACCATTAAACACAAAGCAAGTCCCTGAAATGAGCACCCTAAGGGTGGCACTTTGATGAGTTCATCTAAGCGCGGTGTCGGGCCGTGCCAGCAATAAACCAAATCCGGGCCTAAACAAGGACCTGCTAGGAATTCTGTGTGTTCAGGGTTTTGCGTGGCCTTCTAACTTTTCGCGGTGTATATGTCGGGGGACCTAGGAAGTGGGGCAATTGAGTAGAGTTTGAAGGACCTTAAGGGGGATGACTTGTAGCTCTATATGATGACTCCTTACTACCCATAGGCCCCAGAGTAGTTCTTGTTTGGGGGTCATATTTTCAATTCTATCAGGTAATCCCAAAGGGAACTACTATGGGGCTATGAGCAAATTTGAGTAAATCCCCCAACCCTCCAAGTAGAGTATAGCCTTCTAGGTCGAAGCTCTGTAGCCTTGAGACGCTGAAGAAGTTTCACCGAGTTTCAACCCTTGATGTAGAGGCCTGAATAGTTAATGCTAGTATTTCTTGGAATCATGAGGACTTCTTTATGTCTTTATACTAGAATAATTCCGGAGACCTTATTGACATGGTTGAGGCCCCTATACCACCCCAAACTTAGGCTCCCTTCTAGTATCTTCTGGATGAATGGAGAGAGTGCACACTTTTTGTTGAGGCATACTGGACGAACCCTAGCCCTTGAACTGACCGATCTCGTAAACCTCAAAAGCCTCATCTTGCGATGTTTAGGGCTTCAGGGCTTAAGGGCTGTTCCCTAGTGAGCGCCGAAACCCTAAACCCTAAACCCTGTTCTCGTGCGACCCGTCAGGCGATGGGCAGCACCGCACCACTTTGATGGAGTTACCATCGTGGTGGCCGCCTCGGTTCATTTCACAGGGCTCTGGCTTTTGGGTTGTGGCTGTAGGATTTGTATCAGGGTTCTTGGTGGTTTTTGGATGTAGGATGCATTGTTGGGATGTGTAGTGTTCACCCTGAAGTTTCAGAGCCCCCTTTCCATCCATGCGGCGCAATCACCAAGCTCTTACAGTTCGAATGCTGCTACAATCTGAGAGCATAAAAGCTACTAGCCCAGTCGGCCCTCAAGACAGCAAGCCATGAGCCTTTTTGGGATGCATGCCGGCTAATTCAAGACATACTTCAGGCTGCAAGGGCAGTGTTGGGGCCTATGGTCCTGCAGGACCGATCTGGAGCGCTTTAAGCCCAAAGGTCCTGTACCCAAGCCCAAAACTCTAAACTCAAAACGTGCCTAAGTTTTAACTATCCGTGAAGGCTTCGGGTTTAGGAACTTTGAGTTTCGCCACACGGAGCTCCAAACTTGTGGCTTTTGACCACGGAGCCGCAAATCCTGAACCGATACGACAACTAAACCTCTTAGAAACCGGTAAAGGAACCGTCGTACTCACCCTTAAACCGTTTAGGGCCTGAGGGTTAGGGAACTCTTGCAGCAATCCCTGTGGTCTATATAGTAAAGGTCCTGGATGGGCCCTTTACTTCTCACGCCAGAGCACCGAAGTCATCACTCTCGACCCCCGAGAGTTAGAAGAAAATTGCGTTGTCCAGACCCTGCTCTTAAACCCTAAACCCCCAAGCCTCAAGCTAGCTGGAGAAGCAATGCCGGCCTTCGTGCGAGTGTGCGAGTCGAAACCCTAGCTGGCTGTTGCTACCTGTTCCGTTCTGCAGACTTACAGGGGGGAGCTCCTAGACCACCCAAATCCCCTTGAAAACAGCAAAGGCAGCAAGGCCAAATTCCGAAATCTAAGAACCTCCTGCAGGAAGCTAGCAAGGAGCCGTTTAAGTACCTCCTCAAGGAACCCTAAACCCTAGGTGAGCCTTTGAAAGAACCCGCAGCCGCTAGGAAATGCCTGAAGTCGTCAGATTTAGGGACCCCCAAAAGCACAGAAGCATAAGCATTTTATGGCAATATCCCTAGCTTATTGGGCTTCAATATAAGGGGGCTTATATGGGGATACATATGCGTGGTTGTCCAAGTTATGGTCCCTTTTTGGGTCCCCATTATATTATCTATTATTTAGGGTACCACAAAAGGGACCCTAATTTTGACAACCACCCATATCTATGATATCTCTAGCCTAATTTTTGCTTATGTGCTTTTTTGGGGCCCTGGTGATGCTGAGGCTGCACAGCACCGACGGTGTTTCCGACCTCCTGGACCTGATCTTTGCTTTAGGGATTCATGGGGTTGAGGGATGTAGGGTTTAAGATTTACAGGGTTTATGGATTTAGGGTTTAGGCTTTAAGATTTCGGGTTATTTCGGGTTTTGGGTTGAGGTAGTTTGGGTTTAAGAATTATTTATGGGGTTTAGGGACAAGGTGCGCTGCGGCCTCTGCTCAAAAAACGGGTTTAGGGACATAGAGTGAGTTTAGGGCCAAGGGCTGCGCGATGCCTTAGTTCGCACATACAGGTGGTTTGTCTTGTTATAATGAAGGGTCTTTCGTATGTTATGCTATTTATTCAGTGTTCCAGGTGTTCAACCTTGTTTTTGTGGGGGCGGGGGGTCGTGGGTCTAAGGGTTTGGGGATCAGGGCTTGTGGTTTCAGGGAGGGGGAGTAAGGTAGGAACCTGATTAAGAAACCTTGGGCCTTTTTTCGGGTTTCTTGTATGAACCCTACTATTTTGGGTTTATAGACCCAGGGTTTCTTAATCAGGTTCCTACATGTTCAGCATTCGGGTTCAGCCTTATCGAGACTCGCTCTTGCCGATGTCGTAAACACCTCCGTGGTAGCCCTGCCTTTTCGTTAAGGAGACCCCCCTGCCTCAATGAGGACCAGAGCAGCGGAGCCCACGGTTGTCGGTCCTATTAACGGGGTTCTTATGACGCGGAACACGTGAGAGCTTCAGACAACAAGTGACCCTAATTGAGACTCTAAGCTTGAGCAGAGTCCGGGGTGATCTGCATAGGTCCCTGGTAGTGAGGCCCGAAAGCATCTTAGACCAAGGAAGCCGTACCAGATCTTTTGAAGCCCAAAGCCTAATGATGCAACCCGGAAGCCCCAAAGCCCTTTCGACCTTTTTCAGGATAAGCTTACGGAAACCGTATAAAGGCAAAGATTATCTCCTAAACCCGAGGCCCTTTGAAGGAAACCCTTGCAAAGCCCGCAAACCTCGTGCAACCCAGCTTGGGTACGGCCACCACTCAGTAACAGTTGGATAATATTCGTAACATAGATATATAAGGCGCTTAATAGTAGCCCTATTCTAGACTGTTACTGTATGGGGGCCGTACCCAAAACCCAGCTTCCGTGCTGTTCAGGAGGAAGAAGTCCCGAGGACTGCAGTCGACGACCCAGGGGCGGTTGCCAGCAGGTTGCAGGGTTGTGGGTAAATAAGTCGTAGATAACCCGAAACCCGAAACCGTGCTTGGCAAAGTACCGATAGTCATTCCTTCTGTGTTTCTTATCATACTTGGACTATGATATTCCCTCATATTAAGTGTCACAAGGCCGGAAGCTGTTTGAAGTTTAAAGCCTTGAGCCGGCCCAAACCCTTTAGCCCCACCCTAAACCATAAGCCCATAAACCCTAAACCATAAACCCTAAACTCTGAGTTCCGAGGCCGTCTCCAACTGTGTGAAAGCCCCAGAATCGGCCAGAGTACCCACGACGGCCTTGCCACTCGGATGAACTCTTCAGGAGTTGGGGGTTTAGGGTTTAAGTTATTGGCTAGCCCCAAGCCCAGTGGCAAAAAGAAAGGGTTTAAGTTGCTAAGGGTTTTGAGGTGCAGGCTTTAAATGTTTAGTGGTTTTAGGGTTTATGGTCTAAGTTTAATTAAGGTTTTAAGGGTTTTAAGGTTTCGGGTTTAGAGTTTGGGTTGTCGGGAGCATTTAGCTTTTCATTCCACGGTGCCGCCCTCTCCAAGCTTTTTTCCAGTTTCGGAGTTTAGGGCATGCCCATAGGCCCCGTAGTAGTTCCTCTTTGGGATGACCTCATAGAATTTTAAATACATGAGCCCCAAAAAGGAACTACTATGGGGCCTATGGGTAGGTTCAGGGCGTTTCAAAGTTTCTGCTAGGCGTTTGGGGCAAATGCTAGTTCGTGCGCATCGAATTCTATATTTCGCATGATGCAAAGTTAGTTAACTAGAAAGGTTTCCTCTCCGTGCCGCACAGCAAGACGCCACAACTTACGGTCGCTGTCTTGTCTCACACTGAGGTTTCGCTTTGCAGTGGCCTTTTATGCCTTTGCCTTATTACTCATATTCATTCTCTTCGGTCTCATGGCTCACGGCTTGCATTCTGAACCCTAGCACCCAAAGCCCTACAAGCCTAAACACCCTAAGGGA